TGGCCCGTCACACCCCCTCCAGCTGGGCAAATAAGTGAGCTGGCCGCAATGCGGGCATTGCGTTCTGGCCGGAGTCAGACCAGAACGTACTGCTTATGGTGTGAACTAACCCTTAGTGACGCGCTGGACTCTGGGGTTAGTGATCTGCTGGACTCTCGGCTTAGTGACGCGCTGGATGCAGGGCTTAGTGACCGCTGGACTCTGGGCTTAGTGACGCACTGGACGCAGGGCTTAATGACACGCTGGACGCAGGAATTTCGTGACCCGCTGGACGTAGGGCTTTGTGACCCGCTGGACGCAGGGCTTCGTGACCTGCTGGACGCAGGGATTCGTGACCCGCTGGACTCTGGGCTTAGTGACCCGCTAGACTTTGGGCTTAGTGACCCGATGGACGCAGGGCTTAGTGGACCGATGGACTCTGGGATTAGTGACCCGCTGGACGCAGGGCTGAGTGACGCACTGGACGCAGTGCTGAGTGACGCGCTGGACGCAGGGCTAAGTGACGCGCTGGACTCTGAAATTAGTGACCCGCTGGACGCAGGGCTTAGTGACCCGCTGGACGCAGGGCTGAGTGACGTGCTGGACTCTGGAATTAGTGACCCGCAGGACGCAGTGCTTAGTGACCCGCTGGACGTAGGGCTGAGTGACCCGCTGAACGCAGGGCTGAGTGACCCGCTGGACGCAGGGCGGAGTGACCCGCTGGACGCAGGGCGGAGTGACCCGCTGGACGCAGGGCGGAGTGACCCGCTGGACGCAGGGCGGAGTGACCCGCTGGACGCAGGGCGGAGTGACCCGCTGGACGCAGGGCGGAGTGACCCGCTGGACGCAGGGCGGAGTGACCCGCTGGACGCAGGGCGGAGTGACCCGCTGGACGCAGGGCGGAGTGACCCGCTGGACGCAGGGCGGAGTGACCCGCTGGACGCAGGGCGGAGTGACCCGCTGGACGCAGGGCGGAGTGACCCGCTGGACGCAGGGCGGAGTGACCCGCTGGACGCAGGGCGGAGTGACCCGCTGGACGCAGGGCGGAGTGACCCGCTGGACGCAGGGCGGAGTGACCCGCTGGACGCAGGGCGGAGTGACCCGCTGGACGCAGGGCTAAGTGACGCGCTGGACACAGGGCTTAGTGATGCCTCTTAGCTCTGCGTCCAGCGCGTCACTAATCCAACCTTTACTTCTCCTGTTTTGGGGATCCTGCAACTAGCCTCATTTTTCAATTCCTTGATTACAGCATCTTCTTCTAAACTGTAGCCTGTGCTTTTAAGCTATGAACGTATTTTACTACAACATATTGATGGAAATGGGCCCTTAGTTATAATAAGCAGGCTTGATGAATAAGCACTGTTTAGGTGCGAAACACATACAGGATCAGACTGTGATCTTATCATCATGTGTGCCATGGTTTGGAATAAACAAAAACACATCAGATTTAGCAAGATACTCCCAGGACCTGTGTTTTTATTTTCACATATATTGAAGTTTCCCATTTGGAAGTGTGAAGTGGAAGCATATATACAAAATGATAACCTTTTTAAAAATGTCTTGACAGCATTAGCTAACGCTGAGCCACCAATGCTTTTAGTGCAGTTAAAGGTAACAAGAGTTTTCTGCCATTGGTCACAGTCTTAACTGAAATATAACATCACAGAGTGGAGAGAACCTAATAGCATTTCAGTCACAGTCTGTCACTGATCAGTAGATTGCCATTTACTACTCTAGTGGAGTTTTAATAATTGGAACGTATTTGTGTACAGAGGAGGAAATTGCATGGTCAAGTGCTCCCTTTCATGCATGTCTCATTTTGCATCTTTAACGGCTCTTATCCATTGTTGTTACAGTTTGCTTCTTCAAGTGCATCTCTTCATTCTTATGCCTGTTTGCATGTCTCAGTGTGTCTACTCACACATGTTCGATTTGTTTTGTGATAATTGCCTGTTACAGCATTTGTGAATCTCATAAGTTTTATCATTTTATTGTAATTTTAAAAGTAACATTTATTATTTTTACATCTTAAGTTTTCAATAATACCTGGATTTATGAAGACCCATGTTCAGGTACTGCCTGTTATAAGGTGACAACACTCTGTCTTTGTCTTCCACTTAATGCACACAATTAGAGAATTGGGGTTTACAGAGACATAAACCATTGCACAAGTGTAAAAAAAATATATAACCTTTTAATTTAATTCATAATATATACAAATTAGTAATCAACAAAACGGATTAAAATCTAATGAAGGAACCACATCCCTTCCATCCTTTATAGCAGCCAGAGTACATACAAGTACCATAATGAAAAATCATGTAGAATGTCCATGTCTGAACTAAGTCCTTCTTCTTTTGTAATCAATCCAATAATATTTCACTGGCTTATGTAATCAAAGATGGTATCCCTTCCTTGATACCATCTTTGATTACATGCTGAAAAATTATGTAGAATGTCCGTGTCTCCACTAAGTCCGTCTTCATGTGTGATCAATCCAATAATATTTCACTGGCTTATGTAATCAAAGATGGTAGCCCTTCCTTGATACCATCTTTGATTACACAATCCAGTGAAATATTATTGGACTGATTACAAATGAAGGACTTAGTTGAGACACGGACATTCTACATGATTTTTCATGATGGTACTTGTATGTACTCTGGCTGCTATAAAGGATGGAAGGGATGTGGTTCCTTGATAAGGTTTTAATCCGTTTTGTTGATTACTAATTTGTATATAATATGAATTGAATTAATAGCTTATATATTTTTTTACACTTGTGCAATGGTTTATGTCTCTATAAACCCCAATTCTCTAATTGCAATTCTCTAATTGCATTGATTGATTAATAACAGGGGGTGAGATATTCTTCAGATTGCACAGGTCTTAGGTATATGTTTTGGAGTCTTGTCTTCCACTTATACTTCTTATCAGCCCACCTCTCTTTCCTTTCTCTTTTCCTTTCCAGTTTATCCTTCTCTTTCTTTCATTCTCATCTTTTTGTGGTTTCTTTGGCCTTTACCCCTTGTAAACATTTGGTAATTTAAAGTAAAGGTAGTCACCCAGTTTTAATCTCTTGAAAAGCCCAGACCTCCAAAAAGGTAGTGCATAGAATTCTATTTTGTTCTGTATAACAAGCAAGCAATTGCGAGTGTTTGAACTTGCACAGAATATATTTGATGCACTTAGCGCCAGATTTATGTTGCAAGTGTAAGGTTGTTCATAACTGAGTTTTAATAGACTCCAGGAAAGAAGACTCATAACTCCAGGCAAGAAGCTCAACTGTCGCTTCTTGAAGAAGTCGTCGTCATGGGGACTTAAAGTATAATTAGAGCCTCCAGTGTTTTTGCAAGCAGTAGATATAGGCAAAAAGTGTAAAAAAAACCAAAACGCTTTAAAAGGGGTTTAAACTTACCTGTGTCTTCACCGCGCGCTCCCGTCCGAAAATGTGAAAATTCTTGGCAAGCCGCAAAGCATCTTGGGGTGGGCGCATGCGCAGTTCACATTTTCGGCCAGGAGACGAGGAGAGACACAAGGTAAGTCTATGGACGCGTGCATCCGCATGCAGACACCGTGGGACAGGAAGTGCCAGCAAGCACAGAGGAGTCAGCGCTGGATCGGAGACCCGCCGCACCGCTGGAGGGAGAGTTGAAAACGACGGGAAAGAAGATCGGATTAAGAAACATAATTTAAGGTAAGTGTTTACACTAACATTGGGGGAGGGAATTTTTTTTTTTGACTTTAATGTCACTTTAAGTTGCGATTGTTTTGTTAGGCGATGCTCCAGTTTCAGGCAGCCCCAGAGCAAGTGCAGATGAAAACAGGTGCAATAAACATGCAATTGAAGAAGTAGTGCAAGCTCTGGTCAAAACACGTGCAAAAAACATGCAATTGAAAAAGTAGTGCAAGCTATGGTCAAAACAGGCACCAAACACGTGCAGTTGGAAAAGTAGTGCAAGCTCTGGTCAAAACAGGGGCACATGTTAAAAGACAGATTTGCACATTTAAAAAAAATGATCTAAGAGGCTAAAACTGTCGCAATTGCTTTGATACATTCCCCCCAATATGTTTATCTTGTACTGTATGTTAATATATTTGACAATTCTATAGTATCAGTCATAAAATAATAGAAAGGAAATGGTCTGTGGTGTAGGCCATTGCAGATACCTAAGACAAGGGACATTACATGCTAGAACACTGATTTATTTTAAAATATGCATAAATAAATGTCTATAAATCAAAGTCTGCATTTGTTCAGGTCAAAGGACATTTCCTGACCAGAAGTGGTCTTGGAGTATCTGACATACCTCAGCAAAAAGGATATTGCACAGAGCTTTATCCGTGTACTCATTATTACAGCACTGACTTTGGCTGTGCACCACAACCTTGGATTCCTTTATATGTGCATAGGGACTATCTTACATGTACCAACACATGTGGAGGGATGCATCTGATATGAAGGTGTGTTACTTAAAAATATATTTTTATTTTAAATTCAAAAAGCCTGTAGCCAGAAAACATACATTTACATCCATTACAGTTTATGGTAATGAAAATAGAACCAGTAAAATATTACAATTTTTATGCTACACATACATAGCCTCAAAGCTGCTCGGCAGCTGTACAGGGCTGGTACCGCTCTCTGATCCAGCAGACTCCTCTTTCTTCCTGTCCCACGGAGTCTGTCCGGCGTGCATTGACTTACAGTGTGTCTCTCCTCCTCTCCCCTCCAGTGATATGCATATACTGTATCTACTGCTTGCTAACAGTAGGTATATGTAAAACAAACAATCAAGGCTGTAATACCACTTTAAATAGAACTATGTCTTTCTGATGGGATGTGGGTATGAACAATGATCAGTACAGATCCTCACAGGAATTTATGGTGTGATTTCATATAGACTAGAAGTTTCATTGTAGCTGGCAATTAAAAGCAATGCTTTTTTAGCTTGTCATTTTAATTAATGCTATTTTACAATTAAAGCAGTGGAAAGCTAAGCAGTGATACATCAATTACATTGTATCCACATTTACAAAATTTATATTCAAATAATGCAACATATACATACACCTTAAAAAATATTTTTAAAAAAATCAATATGTAAAATAACTATTTAAATAATAAATACTCTAAAAGGAGTTTGAATTCATCAGCTAATAAACAATGCACATAGACACCAGCCTGTAGTTTTATGCACAGTTTCGGATACTATATGTGTTTCTCTCTTTTACAGCTGCATGCAGTTTAAAACTTGAGGTTAATTATGAGTTCAGAGAGCTTGTTGAGGTCATTTAGACTTGGCTCCCTGTGGAGGACAAAGTCGACTTTTGTATCTTGGTGGGGAAAGATGGTTAGAAGCTCATTTCTGAGTCGTTCAGTGTCTCTGTGGGAGCGTGATTCCGGCTCTTCTTTGCCCTTATGTCCACCTGGCTTTCTGTCTCTGAGGTTGAGGACCTCTGTCTGAGATGATGGCTTTGGAGGACTTTGGGAAGTGTGAGATCTTCTACCAGCAAATGAGTGACCTTTTGACTTGATTCTAAATTAAAACAGGACAGTGTTAAGCAGAATATATAAAAATAAATATATATAAATATAATAAAAGATTTGTTTAATGACACTTACTTAAGTAGTGAGTTCCTGGTCAGGAACTGGCCCAGCAGTGGCCCATTTCTCCCCATGGGGTCATCTGGTACCATGAATATGTCACCAACAAAGGTGAATTGCAGCACTCTAATATTTCCCAAAGACAAGAATCATAATGGTTATACAATGTATACCATGTAAGAGAGAGGAGTACTTTTAATTGTATATGTATGTACCTGTCCTTTATTATAGTTTGCCAAGCTTGAGATTCTGCAAAGATGTCCCGTAACTGATCATTTGTGACAATGACACCATCTGTCTTCTCAGCCAGCTGCAGCATAAACCTGTTATGAGCAAGACAATCAAAATATTACTTTAAAGATATTTGGCTCAATTGCAATGGTCCAGGAAAAGCTAACTGACAAAACAGGGGAGAGAAGTGTAGCGTGTAGGTGTACTCTCACCAGTTTCTTGCTCCTCTAATCTACAGCTTGTACGTTCTGGTATTTTTCTGGCCACTGCATCCTCAATCTCTGAATGTTGTAGATCATTTTACACACTACTATGAGCCAAACATGCAACAGAGGTAGAAGGAAGTGCTAGCTGTAAGAAGACCTCCAAAAACAGGAACATCAAGCTGCAGTTTGGAGGGTTGGAGCACAAATGTGAGTGTAATTCAACACTGTATTTACTTCCCCCTGATTTACTCTTCCTGGGCCTACTCGTTAGTTTGTTATCTCAGAAGGAAAGGTAAGAGCAGAGGGGAAAATTAAGGTAATAGAAACAGGGAAGTGGGTGGGGAGGAAGTATTAACTCTTGCTACAAACAAGATATGTGCACAGGCACCCTAAAATGTTACAATTTGTAGCAAATGAATAAAATAATCAGCAACAGTAAGCAAATTAATAATAAAACCTAACCATAAGGATGTAATTCTCCCTTCTGGTTGCCCCCACCACCCACTTTTCAGCCAGTAAAGAATATTTAGATTCTGGAAAACTCTGAATCCATGGAAAACCTAACTATTTATCATCTTATCATGTGAGCTTTTTTAATACTAAGAATTGAACTTTAGATATTATTGTCCGAATAAACGATGACCAAATATTATGGTAAAGCAATATTCCCACCCACTTTTCAGACAGTAAAATAATAATTAGATTCTGGACAACTCTGATGCCATTAGGTTATGGAAAACCTAACTATTTATCATCTTATTATTTGAACTTATTTAATACTAAGGATTGGACTTTAGATATTATTGTCTGAATAAATGATTAACAAATATTATAGTAAAGC